CAATTAATCATTTACTCATCACAAATTTTATTGTATAAAGGATTTTGGGAGAAAGAAAGATCATACATTTGATCCCTGCCCTCATGCAGCTCCTAGTGTGGTGGAGATACGATGATGCCATTATTATTAGAGTCACATCTGCATAGCACTTTACAATATGCAGAGCACTTTTGTTTTCCCTCTCATTTAAGGCATGATTATAGTAACCATAACATGAAACAGCAAGAAATGCAGGCATGGGGCTCTGGGGGACAGAAGAGATCCCTTTCTTCCAGGGAAGCAGAAAAGGTTGTGTGGAGTTGATACACTTGAGCTGGACCTTGAAGGGGGTGTAGGACCTGAACTGAGAGACTGGCATTGGGCTGTCCCTGGAGAGGAAGAGCCTGTGCACTGATAGAGCCCAGAGAGGATATTGGGGAACTGAGTGGTGGGGGTTGAAGTAGGGTGACATTTGATAATAATGGGTAACACGTAAGCATTTACACTGTTCTAAGTGCTTTACATATCAGAATTCATTTAAATCCTAAAAAATCGATGAGGTAGGACCTCTTGTCATCCCCCTTTACAGGTAAGGAAACTGGCCTTCCCAGAGTAGGTTAGAGCCTCACTATGAAGAGCCTGAAAGGGTAAGCCACCATGGCAGCTTCATCTGGTAGGGTTTGGACAACAGGGAACCAAAGGAGGTTTCTGAGCTGGCAAGTTAACTGCTTTAAGATGAACTCATGTTTAGAGAGCAGAATTGGAGAGGACCTCAGTTGAAGATCATCTATAGATGTCAATCATGTTACAGTCGGCTCAGGGTAAAGCCAAGGCAACAGGACCAATGATACACTCACTGGCCCTTCAGTTGCCCTCAGAGATTCCTCCACTTTTCCCTGCGGTTTCTCATATCTTCCAGTGTATGAGCCACCACTGCCTGCCTGGCTCAGGAGGGAGAGCATCATGCCAGCAGCTTGGGCTAGGAAAACAAAAGTTCTTCACGCTACACTTGCAGTGTTTTTGTAAGTCTTAAATGCTTTCAACATAGAAAATAATAATGAAAATAAAAGCTTAAAGAGTATGAACTTTATGTTGCATTTGGCACAGTGGTCAGCAAACTCATTAGTCAACAGAGCCAAATATCAACAGTACAACGATTGAAATTTCTTTTGAGAGCCAAATTTTTTAAACTTAAACTATATAGGTAGGTGCATTGTTATTAACTTAATTAGGGTAGTCCTAAGCTGGCCTTTGCTAAAAACGTCCTCAATCTGAGGGGTCGACCTCAGCGAACATACCCCCACTTCTTCTAACGCCTCTTCTTCAAAATAGACTCGCCCAGGCCAAAAACCGACTTCTGCGCATGGGCCACGAAGTTTCAATCGCACTGTACGTGCGCACCCGCACGTGGTATTTTGTGGAAGAGCCACACTCGGGGCCAAAGAGCCGCATGTGGCTCGAGAGAGCCGCGGTGTGCCCACCACTGGTTTGGCATGATCATTAGCATAATAAAGTCTGTGCGTTAGAGCAGAGTGGGATAACCCATCTGGGCCTCAGCTGGGTTTCCTGGGATCACTCACAACTTTTAGGCCCTTCAAACAACCCTGTGTTTTGGTCTATGTGCTGCCAAAGTGTGCTCATAAGTACTGTATTATTGATTTTTAAGACGCTTTCTTATAGCTTCTAGGTAGAATTATGACAGTTCTGCGATCTCTGGGGAAGTAAAAGAGGAGGAGGTGGAGGAGGGGAGAAACAGCAGCGTCTCTTTTCTCCTCTCCTTCCAAAGCCATATTGACTTAGGTGCGAGGGCTTAAATGTACCAAGACGTAGGACCCCCTAAGCCACTCCAAGTCGTCTTAGTGCTAATACACTTTCTCTTAGATTTAGAAGCCTCTGTTCTCCAGTCAGTAGGTCCTGTTCCTGGTGTTTAAACCTCCATGGCAGAGGGGTGGAGATGGAACGCAGGGGCTGCTGCTCTGAGAATCAGACACCCAGATCAGCTTTTCAAGTACTAGTTCTGCGTTTCAGAATTTCCCAGGATTTTAGGCAGACACGAAGGATTCTCTTCCTCTTCTTTTACTCTTCTCATTTTCCTCCACCTCCTGCCACCTCTCTTCTTTTCTTCTTTCTCTTCCTCCTCAATCTCCTTCTCCTCCTCCTCCTCCTCCTCCTCCTCCTCCTTCTTTTGTCTCATAGTCTCTACTAATCTTTATAGATAGTGACTGTTTAATGTGGGTAGAGGATATGGAAGTGATATCAAACCTTTGGTGTGAAATGAGGACTTATGGAACACCTACCTACTCTTTCAGCCATGTCTACACATAGTTATGCGTCATAATGCTTCATTCATTCATTTTAAAAAATCTTGATTAAAACATCAGTGTTCACAGCAGCATTGTTCACAATAGCCAAAAGGTAGAAATAACTCAAATGTACATGCATAAACAAAATGTGAGATATATATATATATATATATATATATATATCCCAGAATTATTCAGCCTTAGAAAGGAATGAAATTCTGACACATGCTACAACATGGATGAACCCTGAGGCTATTATGCTAAGTGAAATAAACCAGACACAAAAGCACAAATATTATATGATTCCACTTATATGAGGTACATGGGAGAGTCTAATTTCATAGAGATAGAAAGGAGAATAATGGTTATCAGGGGCTGGAGGAAGGGAGAATGAAGAGTTATTGTTGAATGAGTATGGGCGTTTCAGTTTAGGATGACGGATGGTCATGATAGTTGAATAACAATATGAATGTACTTAATGATACTAAACTGTATACTTAAAAATAATTAAAATGGCAGGAAAGCTGGGGAGGGTTGGGGGTTGGGGGGGGGCGGGTAAGAGATCAACCAAAGGACTTGTATGCATGCATATAAGCATAACCAATGGACACAAGACACTGGGGGGTAGGGGAGACCGGGAGAAGGTCAAGGGGAAAAAAAAAAATGAGACATATGTACTGCCCTTTGTAATATTTTAAGCAATAAAACAAAATTTGCCAAAACCGGTTTGGCTCAGTGGATAGAGCGTCGGCCTGCAGACTGAAAGGTCCCAGGTTCGATTCCGGTCAAGAGCATGTACCTGGGTTGCGGGCACATCCCCAGTGGGAGATGTGCAGGAGGCAGCTGATTGATGTTTCTCTCTCATCGATGTTTCTAACTCTCTATTTCTCTCCCTTCCTCTCTGTAAAAAATCAATAAAATATATTTTTTTTAAAAAACCCAAAATTTTAAAAAATAATTAAAATGGTAAATTTTATGTTCTATATATTGTATTTTACCACAGTAAAAAAAAGTCTCGGTCAGTATTATGTAAATATGAAAAAAACTCATGGATGCTGGCATCCTATTTGGTATTAACAGATTTGGTGTTTTAAGCAATAAAATCGGTTTACCTTATTTTGTATAAGATTTGCAGTTGTGGGTGAACTGGGACTCTCGTAGCATTACTGTCTTGTCATGGTCCAGCAGCTGTTGTTCATATAGCATCTTTGCTCCCAAAGACATCCAGACATCTATGAACACTGTGTTCAAATGGAAGACCCTGTCAGCTGTGAGTGAGGAGCCTGAGTTCTGTTTCAGCTCTGTCTTGATCAAGTCTCTCCCGTCGCCTTTCTGGACCTCATCTTTGTTACATAGCCAGGAGGCTCACATCCAGGTCTTTTGTTTCTTAGCCTCATGCTTTCTCACCATGCTGCCTGTGGTTTGGCAAATTAGATTTGGTGCTCAGTCTGCCCAACTAGGTCTACCCTTGGTTGGGACCCTGCCCACTGCATTTGGCACTTGGTCCCTGACACAACCTCCAATGGAGCCCCTTTCCGGGGAGAGGAGGAGGGAGGGGAGTGGCATTCTCTCACCCTTGGGGGCATGGAAGAGTGCCTGCCTTGCCTCCTGAAGGGTATGCGATTCTGCCTGCCCTGTGAACAGCCTGGATGTGGATTCCCCAGAAATAAGTTTGTTTCCCAGATCAAGGAAGAGCAGTTGGCTTTTGCTGCTTCCCGTTCCTACAGGTCGCCCTGCCTCTACTTCCCTGTCAGGTAGAAGTCTGGACTTCTTGAACCCCAAGCCTTCACCTGAAGTGTTTATTGTTGGCCACCTGCCTCCTGTAAGCTGATCAGTGCAGGAGGCCCATCAGGATTGCCCCGATCCACATTCTCTCCCCTGTCTCTGAATTTCTAGGCAGTTACGAGAGAGATTCTTTATTCCTGTAGACCCTATCAGCAATTCTAGTCCTTGGTTTAGATCAGCGGTTCTCAACCTGTGGATCGCGACCCATTGGGGGTCGAACGACCCTTTCACAGAGGTTGCTTAAGACCATCGGAAAACACATATGTAATTACATACTGTTTTTGTGATTAATCACTATGCTTTAATTATGTTCAATTTGTAACAATGAAAATACATCCTGCATATCAGATATTTACATTATGATTCATAACACTAGCAAAGTTACAGTTATGAAGTAGCAACGAAAATAATTTTATGGTTGGGGGTCACCACAACATGAGGAACTGTATGAAAGGGTCGCGGCATTAGGAAGGTTGAGAACCACTGGTTTAGATGTATAGAGCTGTCTTCTAATTTTATTGTAATCTGAAAGAAAGGAATGCGTGTCTCTTCCTTCTTCTAGATCTGAATGTTACTTAAAAAGTGCTGGTTGACAGGACCTGCTGGGGCAGAACCGATAGTGATGGCTCCTCAGGGGAAGGCCCCTCCAGTTAAGGTTTCGGCGGTGCCTTCTGCCGGGGCCTCGACAAATACAGAGCTGCCTGCGTTCTCCGTGAGCGGCCCTGGAACGCTGCTGTGTTGGAGGCAGGCTCCCTTATTCCTGTGGGACCCTTCCGTCTGCCCAGCTCCTTGGCTGACCCATAGCAGAAAAGGACACAGAGCTGGGCGAGACAGGGATGTGGGTGGAGTCCCCGCCTCAGGAGGAACAGGACGCTAGTTGCCAAAAGAAATTTTATCATCCTAATAAAACGAAGCACATGATTTGCATTCCAGGTCCTTCAACTATTCTATGGGAGCCCGGGCGTTTTCCCATGACAGTATTTTTATCCCTGATGGGGGAGCAGAAAGTGAGCAGACAGTTCAAGCAATGTCACAGGACAACATCCTGGGCAAAGTCAAAACTCTTCAGGTAAGACAGCTTGAGACTGGAAGGTTAGAGCCGCAGGAGGGCCTGGCTGTGGAGGGAGTGGGGAGATGCCCAGCTTAGCCCTGAGTGATGGATGGGGAGGTCCAGCGGGAGCTCCTGGGGAGAATTTTCGCCTTTTTTTTTTTTTGTAACTGGAGTCAGTTCTCTAAGCCTTCTGTCCCCTGTGAGAGGTACATTGTCACCGTTGTACCCACCTTCATAACACCCCCTCTCCTGTTCTCTCAAACTGTTCCCTCCGTGTTGAGTGGGCATTATGAGGACAGATCCCCAAGAGAAGCTGCATGACTCGGATGGGAGGAGTCATTAACCGTGAAGTGTTGGCCGTAATCCCCAAGTTCAGGGCTGACTGTCTGTGGATCGTTTGCACAGCAAGTGTTCACTCTCCAAGCCTCCCTGCTTGGAGCGTGAATGCTGAGCCTCTTACTCTGTTGTGCACATAAATCTGGCTCCCCTGAGCCACCTGGCCTCAGAGGAATACCGGGAAGCTCTTAGGGCACCCCACCCCACCCCTGTTCAGCTGCAGAGCTGGGCAGTTTTCCTACATAAAATTAACTCAGGTGGTAACTCCTTAATCATGGAAGTACAGTTGACCCTTTAACAGTGAGGGTTTGAACAGCATGTGTCCACTTATGTGCAGATTTTTTTTTCAATAAATACTGTAAATGTATTTCTCTTATGATTTTCTTAATAATGTCTCTTTTCTCTAGATTCCTTTATTGTAAGAATACAGTATATAATACATACAACATACAAATGTGTGTTAATAATCAGTTTATGTGACTGGTAAGGCTTCTGGTCAAGAGTAGGCTATAAGTAGTTACGTTTTGGGAAAGTCAGAAGTTATGTGTGGATGTTCAGTTGCATGGGGGTTGGCGCCCCTAACCCCTGCATTGTTCAAGGGTCAACTGTATAATAAAATAATTCTTCACCAAAAGTGATTCAGCTCATGGGGACTCCGAGAAAAGCAAGGGAGTGAAGACACCTGGGATCTGACTGTGTAGGTTTGCCTGATTACTGGGAAGAATTCACTCGCCTGACAGAAGTGCCTAAGCAGGCACTTCTCTGAGACAGGGTGCCTGGAGGCGATCCAAATCATGAACAGGGGACTCTGGTGTGCTGGTTTCCCTCTGTAAGTCTGCAAGAGTGAGTGAGTGAGTAAAAAAAAAAAAAAAAAAAAAAAAAGGAACAGCTGGCTTGAGTAGCTGCTGACAAGATGAAGCATTGTACTCAAATTTTCTGTTTTCTTGAAATGCTCTTGTTTCTACTGAACATTAGCTACGTATTTTGTGATCAGAGTTTGGTCACATATTCCCCACACACTCTCAGTCGAATGCAGCATATGGCAAGCAGGGAAATAGCCCACACCTGGCACCGCGCCCAACGCGCCCAGGTCCTTATTCCTACTGCCCAAGGCCATCGCCCTGCCCCAGAGCTAACCTGGGCACTGCCTTCAGGTTCCGCCACTTCCTAACCAGGCTACATTCTTGGCTCTTGCTGGCTGTGCTCTCTGAACCCCTGGCTTATCATATCTGCTTTCTAAAAGGAGTGACTTACAGATTCCAGTCCACGAAACAGCTGTGTTTTATGAGGAGTTCTTTAAACTTAGATAGTAGTTCACTTAGTACATCACAGCACATGCCACTGCCATGCCAAGTGGACTTGGAGTTGTAAACGGTATGGGATTCTACAGTATTGAAAATGTGGAAACTCAGTGCAATGTGTGACTGCCTATTCATCCTATTAAGCACAATTTTAAAGAATCTGATCTCACCATTAATAAAATGTAAAACAACCAACTTCCCCGAAGCTACACTTGTATTAATTAACACAGGAAGAGAAAATGTAAGTAAAGTAAAATAACTATATAATTCGCGTGCTCTCTTTTGATGATAGCTACTCATCGGAGGTTTTCCTAATTTTGCTTCTGTTGTATGGAATCATGAGCTTCCTTACAGCTCTATAGTTATATTTTTAAAAAAATAAAATAAAATAAAGGGCTTTGCTCTTCGAGGAGGGAAAGGGGGACCATTGTCATAGGAAATGTAATTTTTGGAGTGACATAAGATGTAACTGTATCACCCCCAAAAGACTGTGCTTTATTTTTCAGTCGACTAAGCAGTATGTTCCTGGTAAGTCGTAGAAATAGTAGTTAACTGTATTAAGTTGCATGAATGCTTTGCATTTTTTCATGACAATGTTATGCTGGCATTGATGCTTACTAAGCAGCATAAAAGACCGCCCTTCATAGGCTCCAGCATGGAATGAGGGTGTTTAGTTATGTCAGAGGCATGAATGTTTTTTTTTAATGTCTGAAATTGTCTTTGTGTATCTGCGTATGTTTATTTTAAAGAGAGAGAGACGAGTAATGGATAAACCTATTTGACAGTAAATGTCTTGGCAAGCTCATTAGCCTCCATTATTAAGACATTCCTTTGAAATTAGATTTTTCCTGGAATGCCATTTAAGACAAAAGAAAACACATTTTTCTCTGGGAACCCCCAGAACAGTGCCTGTAAATGAATGCATTTGGAAAGGTTGCCCTCTAGTGGCCACATGTCGTCATCTCAGCTAAAACTGTCCTATGTTGCACCGGGGCCGGTTAGTATCTCTACTGAGTAGGGAGCGACTGAATCCAGCATAAACCAGCCTACACTTTTCTGAATAGAGTAAATGGGCCACCTGCACAAACGTCTGTGGTGAACGATGGAGTCACTGTTCATCTGGTGTAGCACGGAGTGGCGTTGTCAGCTCTGCCCTTCCTTGCGTTTGGACTACAATGTCCTGTTTCCTCCCTGGCGCTGCCAGAGCACAGATCAGAGAGGTACCTGCATATCTTAGATCAGACCGGGCTGGGAAGTACCTACCAACTAATGATAAACCTCCGGAACACCACAGTCGAAGCCTGCAGACAGTTTGTAGAATTATACCACCCCTTTGTCAGAAATGCGTGGGCCCATTAGTCCACAAGCTAATTAGCTCAGGAGGGAAAACCTCCATCCTCAGTAGCTACTGTCTCCTGCTGAGCTGGATTTCACGGAAAAATGCCAAAGTGTCATTCGCTTGAGGATTTTGACACCTATCGAGGCCGCAAGGAATAAACACCTGCACTTAGCCACTTCTTCATGGAGCAGGCTTTAAATCCGTATGCTTTCTCTTTTTTTGTTTTTTGTTTTTTGGGGTTTGTTTTTTTTTTAGCTTGTTTTAACTGTGGGAGTATCCGTAGTTCACTCAAGAAGACAGCAACTTCATTTTCCCTCCACTTTATTCTTACAGACATGGTCTGAAGAATGAGAAATCTGGGGGACTCTAAACACTGCCAGTGTGCGAGCTGCAGGCTATGACATACTTGGAATTCCCACACCATGAGCAGAGCCTCATCAATATGGATGTGCATTCCTATAGCATCATTCTCCAGCATTCCATATTACAACAAAACGGCCCCATTTGAGTGAATAAAATACAGTCCCTTTTCGCTCACATTCCAGGCTCAACAGTAATAGCATTCATAGCCACACGCAGCATGGACTCACGGGATAGGCACAGCTTTCCCCTCTCCCCTCTGGCTATGACCGCAGGGTGTATAAGGATCCATGGGTATTGGGGAGGCCGGGGGGTGAGAAGGTGGAGGGAGTGGTGGTAGTTTCTTCCCCTGTAACGTAAGGGCAGGCTCGCCGTAGCAGTCCGTTTTTCAGTGTGATTGCTTATGTCAGTTTCTCTGTAACAATGCCTGAATAGTGGGCAGAAATAGTCACCCCCCCCCCCAAAAAAAAGCCACACTTATCCTTTTATTCAGTTCACACCACACCTAAGTTGCCAAGTAGGGTTAGCAGTCCCGTTTTCACTGTCAACAAGTCACAGAGTGTGGTGACAGCCCCGTCTCCGTCCAGTCAGCTGAAGGAAGAGCATTTGGAGCAGGACCGCAGAGAAGGGGGAGTGTGCAGATGCTGGAGCCTTGACCTCGAGAGCCTGAGGATCAGCCACCATGGCCTTGGGCCCCAAGTCCTGCCTGGCCTTGGGCCCTAAGTCCTGCCTGGCCTTGGGCCCTAAGTCCTGCCTGGCCTTGGGCCCTAAGTCCTGCCTGGCCTTGGGCCCTAGGTCCTGCCTGGCCTTGGTCCCTAGGTCCTGCCTGGCCTTGGGCCCTAGGTCCTGCCTGGCCTTGGGCCCTAGGTCCTGCCTGGCCTTGGGCCCTAGGTCCTGCCTGGCCTTGGGCCCTAAGTCCTGCCTAGCCATAGGTCTCATTTCTGACAGCTGCAGGGAGTGTCTGTGAAGAGACAGCCCTTGGTCTGGGCAGAGAGGTTTGCCCTATCCCTAAACGGTGGCCATCATTTCTTTGATGACCTGAGTCCTCCCTCCTCCAATCCCACCGCCTCCTCCTAGGCCCCCTAGCCACCAGCCTGCACTCATTTTCTCTGAATCAGCTGCTTTACGGAGATGCACATTGTCATTGACAAAGGCAACAGCATGTGTTTCTTCTGGCAGGATGAGCATGTCGGTGACATATCAACCCTCTGATATCCGCATCCCCCCGCCCCCCGACACACACACACTCACACACACCCCAGCCTCAGCTGGTGCCTGCAGTCAGGTGTGCAGCTCTTCCTAGGCCCTCGTCACTCCTCTCCATGCATTTCCTCGGACCCTGCACCCTCCTCTCTGTCGGCCTCTTTTCTCTAACCTCCCACTTCATTTCTTAACGCTGCTCTGTCCCTTTCCCAGCTTTGTCCCGTGGTCCTTATTTCTCTGTCCTGTTCTTACTCAGGTTTGGTTTTATTTCCACTTTCTCCTTCCTTTCCCATTGGTAGCCGTGGTAGCCATCCCATCTTTGGGAGACGGTGATTCCATTTTGCCATGTTCTTTTTTGTCCCGTAAGGATCAGATGGACCAACACCAGTTTCTAAAAGGGGCGCCAAGATAGTAAAATACCGGCACATTCCTTCCTTTTTGTGATGGTGGCAAAAATCCCTACGAAATGGCACTATCGTGTTAGGCCAGGTTCTCCTTGCGAGCTGGTTACAGAAGTATTCTTTCCATCGTGAACAGAAGTCCCCTCATGTCCTCCTCCAGGAGCCCGAGTGGACGGCAGAGCCTGACAGCTGGAGGTGTGTGTCTCAGGGTTTAGAACCGTTTGCAGTCTTGGCCAACACTCCTAGAGGAGGGATAGCGGGTGAACCCAAGGCTGGGCCAGGACTCCCGTGCACAGGAACCATTCCCTCCTCTTCTGCCCAGTTCCCAGCCCTTTCCCACCGGGCAGCAGGGTGAGACGGCCGTGACTGTCAACACCGTGTCTCTCTGTCTGATTCCATCGGCTGTTCGAATGTGCCTGCGAATTGATCTGCTCAGAGTGGATACTCGCTGCCGCTTCCTGCTAAACTTGTTTTTGGAAGACACCCTTTTCAGCCTTTTCCTCCCTGAAACCCTTTCAGGCTGCTCAGGCTGTACTTCATTGGCTGGCCTCAGGCTTCAATATGTGCGCCTTCCTGTGGGGTTGGGGAGCCAGGCTCAGGTCACACACATGTCCTGTCTTCCTGTGCGCCTGACTTGGCATGCTGGGGTGCGGGGAGGGGTGCGGGGGGGGGGGGGGGGGGTCTTAGGCTCATCTCGTTCATGTCTCTGCAATCTCACCACACATCGCGCAAGGCTAAGGGGGAGCTGGGCAGCGGTGGGTGGGTTTGGTACCCTGAGTTCAGAGAGAGGAGGGGCATTCCCTTTGAGGGCTTCTCTGCCAGGAAACTTCAGTAAGGTATAAAAATGCTGCTTCGTGTTTTTATTCTTGCCCCTGTGAGAAGGAAGCGCGATGTCAAGTTTATAAGAGCCAGTGGCATGCAACGAAAATAACACTGAAAGCGGTTTTTGAAGACCTAGATTCAAATTCCTTTGGGGCCACTCATTCTTTCCATAAGCTGGGGCCAGTCACCTCTCCCTGCTGGACCGCTGATTTGTTTGCGGAGTGAGGGGTTGGACTGTATGATTGCTAAGGTTCTTTGCAGCTCTGTGGGATTAAATATTAACCCAGTTAAAGATAAAAATCAGATCACCTCCTCTTTCTCTCTTTTTTTGAGGCATAAGAGGACTATGAAACCCAAGTACGTAGCTCTAGAGCAGCAGTTCTCAGCCAGAGGCGATTTTACCCCCCAGGGGACATGGGACAGCATCTGGAGACGTTGCCTCTGCTGGGGAAAGAGGGCTTGCCACTGGCATCTGGTGTCCAGAGGCCATGGGTGCTGCTAAACAGCCCATCGTGCATAGGACAGTTCCCCACAACAAAGAATTACCGGCCCAGAAGGCCAGGTGCCGGGGTTGAAACCCTGCTCTAGACGAAGGCAGTAAGTGGTCTGCACAGCACCCTCGATGCCGTGGTCTCCCAGACCGCCATGCTTACGGCCTTTTCTTCCTGAATGTCATTCGTTTTCTCTGCCACGGCCCCTTAAATATGTTGCCCTTTCTTTAGCTATTGTTTTTATTTTTCTTCCGGGAATATATTTCCTTTTCTAATCTGGCTTTTCTCTCGTTCCAAAAACTTACTATTTTTCTTCCTGATTTGTACCCCCTGATTTCCCACCCCTTCTCCCTACCGGGTGAGCCACACCCACTGGAATGCAACCCCTCCTCAGTGCTTTTCTCCTGCCGACTTCTCTGTCCCTTCCCCACGTGGTGTCTGCCGGCCCCTGGTTCACAGTGGGCAGCCACAGCGAGGGCATAGCAGAGGTCCTGGTGGCAGGACAGGATTCTGCCCCTTCCAGGGCTTCAGCATTGACCATGGAAAGAGGCACTGGCCCTGGCAGTGATACCCACTGTGCCCAGAACATGGCATTCAAGCTGGTGAGGGAGGTGGCCAAAGCATAGCTATCCTGGAGGAATGTGTCCAAAGGAAGCTGGCAGTTCCCTCGTTGCAGCCACTAGGGTCTGGATTTCCCCCAGGGGTTCCTGCATTTCATGGGACCATTTTTCTATACAATTTTTATATTTTTAACAGACCTTTCCTATAAATTGATTTTGAGGTCAATCAAAAATGTTTTGTCCTAACACGTATCCCAACTTTTGGTCCAGAAACTGGGCTCTCTGCCCCCTGGGAAAGTGACATCTCCATGAAAGAGGGTGGCTGGGTGCAAAGAGCTCGCGGCTGGAAGGCGGGAGGGGAAAGGAACCGAGGCTGGAGACGCAGGAACTGAGGCTGGAGACGCACTCGCTTATTGTAGGGCTGCCTCGCGGTCACTGGCGCAGTGTTTGGAGAGCAGCCGTGCGCAGAGCGTGCCTCAGGCCAACCAGACACGCAGGGACCCTGGCTGCGGTTCCTGCGAGCTGCTTCACCGCCTCAGCACGTCTTTCTTGTGTTTCTCTCCAGCGACAGTTGGGCAAGAACATCAAGTTTGGGCAGCCGCCGCCCAGTGCCACCCCTATGAAGAGGGCAGACAGCGGGGAGGCCAGCCTAGAAGGGGACCCGCTCCTGGCCAGTCCCATGGAACCTGTGACTCAGCAGGACCTCATCCTCCCAGACGCCGAGAACAAAGTGAGGCTCCGCCGGGCAAGGACGCGACTGCTAATAACCCGGGAGGCCGTTGGGCAGTGGACAGGGGCAGCCGATGACCCTGGGGTCTGCAGGGCAGGGGGAAGGGGGAGAGGCTTTTCTGTTGAGTGGCCCAGGGAGAGGACTTCGTGGGCAGGTGCCTTCATCTGGGGCGGGGGGGAGAGCTGGGCCATGCCCTTTGCACGTGCTCTTCCCAGGGTCTTCCACGTGCTCCTTGAGACTCAGGTCTGGGAAGCCAAGCTGTGCTGTCTCCTCTGCGCCTTTGCTGTGCGGCCTCAGCACTTCCTACCCGGCCGAAGCCCTTCAGTGTCTACATCCGCCTAATAGTTTTCTCTCCGTCTCTGAACATTGAGTTCCTCGAGGACAAAACTGCATCTTACACATCTCTGTCTCCCCAGTAATCGTTTGTTGGATTGAACTAATTTAAAGGGAAATAAGACAAGAAAGAAGTAGGTCAACAAGACAGCACATCTCAACCAGACCAGCTACTGAGTGAAGGGTACTGAGTGTGGAAAGTGCCACGGGTCCAGCGCTGCCCTCTCTGAATTTGTTGGGTTTTTTGTTGTTGTTAATCCTCATCTAAGGATATTTTTTTCCATTGATTTTTTTTTTAGAGTGGAAGGAAGGGGGAGAGACAGAGAGAGAGAGAGAGAGAGAGGGAGAGAGAGAGAAAGAAACATCGATGTGAGAGAGACAATGATTGATTGCCTCCCACACACACCTCAACCCGCCTGGGGATTGAGCCTACAACTAAGGTACATGCTCTTGACCAGAATGGAACGCTCAACCCTTCAATCCTCGGGCTGACACTCTAACCCAGCCGTGGGCAAACTACGGCCCGCGGGCCAGATCCGGCCCGTTTGAAATGAATAAAACTATTGAAAAAAAAGACCGTACCCTTTTATGTAATGATGTTTACTTTGAATTTATATTAGTTCACACAAACACTCCATCCATGCTTTTGTTCCGGCCCTCCGGTCCAGTTTAAGAACCCATTGTGGCCCTCGAGTCAAAAAGTTTGCCCACCCCCTGCTCTAACCACTGAGCCAGGCCAGCTAGGGCTAAATTTGGTCTTTTGACACTGAAAAAACTAGGGTGAGCATAACCTGAAACGCGAGGCCTTCCAGCAGCAGAAGGGATACCCTCAGGCCTCTTTTGGAAGGAGGAGCTCCTGGAGTGAGGAGTTCTCCAGGCAAAGCTCCAAGTCTTCCTGCCTGGGAGCATCCTTGCACTGTGCCTCCAAGGTGCCCGGGTGAGGCTGAGTGTTACTAAAATGGGCATCCCTCCCACCAAGCAGTCCTGCTTGTTGTCCTGCTTAGGCTAACATGGCCTAAGGATAGGAAGAAAGACGAGCAACTTGCAGGGCAAAGTGCGGAAGGAAAGAAAAGGATGCCCCTGCCTGTTGCCTCTGCCTGGGCCTTCCCTGATGGCTCCTGGCACTCCCACCTGTAGGTGGTGGGTGACGCAGGGATGGGCCCATTCCTCCCCCTGTGGCCAGAGGTGCCCTCTGCAGCCTCCAGGGCAGCAGCCGTCAGCCTCCAGGCAGGGGTTTCCCAAAGACACCCAGGGCCTCACTGTCACTGACAACCTGAGACATGCAAGGTGCTGGCGCCTGGGGGGAGGGAATGTCATTTGTTCAGCCAGCTTTCTGTCCCAGCTGTGGTATCAGAGGTGAACAAGATTAGACAGGGGGCTGCCCTGGTAGTTTATGTTGTAATGAGAGTCAGATAACATACAAGTCAACAAAGATCAATATAATAATTTGAGCCCTTGTTGGTTCGGCTCAGTGGATAGAGCATCAGCCTACGGACCGAAGGGTCCCGGGTTCAATTCCGGTCAAGGGCATGTACCTCAGTTGCAGGCTCCTCTCTGGCCCAGAACCTGGTCAGGGTGCGTGCAGGAGGCAACCAATCGATGTTTCTCTCACATTGATATTTCTCTCCGTCTTCCCCTCTCTCTTCCATTCTCTCTAAAAATCAATGGAAAAATATCCTCAGGTGAGGATTTAAAAAAAAACACAAAACTTATCAATGAAATTGTTTTATTTATATATATAAAATTTCAGATCAAGAAAAATTGAAATAAAATACGTGATGGAAAAGTGAGTGACTTGTTGAAAGATCAGTGCTGCCCAGAGCAAACCAGGAGGTGGGCGTGCTCTAGGCAGAGGGAGCAGCTGAGGCCCAGAGAAGGGGCTGAGCTTGTCCTGAGGAGGAGGTCAGGGTGGCCCCTGGGCTCTGGGGGGCCATGGAGGGGAGCACGTGGTTCAGGGGCCGGATCCTGCAGACCACGGGAAATGGGTGAACTCTACTCTAAAGTAGGAAGTCTCTGAGTAATTTGGAGCAGGGAAGTGACATAATCTGATTTGTGTTTCCTAAAGATGCTTCTAAGTGTGGTGCAGAAAACAGACTGAGGTAGGGCAGGCTGGCAGGACCGCTCTGGAAGGGACAGTAGACCCTTCTGTAAATATTGGCGATACCAGATAGAAGGTGTGGCGGGCCACCAGGAAGGTGCCGGTGCCGGACCTGAGGGTGTTCCCAGGGCAGGCCCACGCCACGGTTGGGAATCTCCAGCCATTTCCTTTTCCTTCCTTCTTTCCTGAGTTGTTTCTCCTCCTCTGGTCATTCACCTTCTCGGCTCAGCCCTTTGGGTGTGGCATTGGTAGGGCCTCTTTCCTTCTCAGAGAGAAGCGGGGGAGGCTTAGCAGGTGAAGGAGGCAGCCAGCAAAGCCAAAGCTCTGAGGTCGGAGCCCTGCCTCCCAGGTACCGTGGCTGTAGGGCAGCCCCCGGATCCTCCCAGCTGCGGGAAACACCAGGGACTGAGGTTGGAGACAGCCCAGCTGGTATCGTGTTGGACTCAGAGGAGGGGAGGGCACACTGTGGGCCCCAGGAGTCCTGTGGAGTCTGGACATTAGCAAAGTGCCCACCGTGACCCCTGCCAGCTCTTTGAAGGCAGCTGCGCCCTGTGTGGAGGAGGGGGCGGCCCTTCCAAGCACAGACCGTGTCTGGTTAGCTGCCCAAAGCTTCCTGTTCTGGCGTGTGACTCAAGCACTCTCTTTACGTTTCAGTCTAGTGACACGCCAAGTTCTCCGAGTCCTCCGAATCCGCCGGGAGCCAGAAGTGAGATGGAAGAGAAGGTAACATGATTTGAACTTACATAGTTAATTTTCCCCCCCTTTCCTCCCCCCACAATCTTCTGCCTCATTTTCTCATTCATCAATGCTGCCTTCATCCATTACTTTAAATTTCTTTCAACTGCAACCAGTGGTAGATACTGGAGCGTCTGTTTCCATGGCGATGCAGTTGCTGGAGCTGAATCCTGCTCTGAAAAACAGCCACCTGCCCAGCATGCCTGCGTTTGGATCCCTAGGCGTTGGTAGTCTGCCTAAATGTGTGATGTACTTTAAGACTCTGCTAAGTTGTTGAAAAAGACACTCCTGAAGGTACCCAAGTCTCTAAGGAAAAAAGTCTCCTATTTGGAGATGGTTTTTAACCTTTCTGTGTGCCATTGAAAGCTGGGCCTCCACCTGCAGGAGTCCAGGGAGCCCTGGGGAGCCTCTTCTGTAGAGGCCAGTCCACTCTCATGAGGACGGTTCACCCACGCAGGGTGCGGGTGCCCTCCCGGGGCCTGGCAGCACAGTGAGAGGAGTATGTCCCGGGTTTTCTGAAGGAGACGGCCCAAGACAACGCCACCACCCAGACAGTGAAGAGGCCCACCTGGCATAACTAGAAACAAAACTTAGCATTTAAATCTCAGCTTCTAGCCCTAGCCAGTTTGGCTCAGTGGATAGAGTGTCAACCTGTGTACCAAAGGATCCTGGGTTTGATTCTGGTCAAGGGCACGTACCCTGGTTGCAGGCTCCTCCCCAGCCCGGGCCCTGGTTGGGGCATGTGCAGGAGGCAACATGTGTTTCTCTCACATTGATGTTTCTGTCTGTCTTTCCCGCTCTCTTCCACTCTCTCTAAAAGATCAATGGGAAAATATCCTTGGGTGAGGATTGACAAACAAAAAAACGAACAAAACAAAACAAAAAAAATCTCGCCTCTAGTGCTAACCTATGTCTTCAGTCTGTCACATTTCATTTGAACTCCTTGCACTCACATACCTATTAGGTTATGGAAATAAATGTTTAATTCATCTCTTTTCTTTTTTAAAAAAATATATTTTTTTATTGATTTCAGAGAGGAAGGGAGAGGGAGAGAGAATCAGAAACATCAATGAGAGAGAATCACTGATCGGCTGCCTCCTGCACGCCCCCCACTGGGGATCAAGCTCGGCACCAGGGCATGTGCCCTGACCAGAATCGAACCGTAACCTCCTGGTTTATAGGTAGATGCTCAACCACTCAGCCACGCCGGTTGGGCTAATTCATCTCTTGGCAGCAGTAGTTCAGGATATGATATGTATTATAAAGATAACTATAAATAAATAAGAGCTAGGGGACCCAAGGCTGGAACTATTTTTCTTTACGTCTGTGCTCTTTGTCATACGTTATTTACTGAGCATCCCTTTTGCTCGTGGAGCTAGCTTGGTGCCTCAGCTCTCATGTGTAAATATGGAAGGTGACTGCAAAAAGCAAAACCCTTGGCTAAACCTCACTGACGTTGCACTTAAGAGCTGGGTCACAGTCAGGGGCATCGTGGCCTCTTTTGCTCTCTGTGCCTGAGAGCTGCTGGCTCCAACAATGGCTGTGAGTGCCTTCTGCTGCATGTTCGGGTGGTGTGTGGTGTGGCCAGGAGCCCTTCTTTGGCTGCCTACTGTGGTCTCCGGGTTCAGGCTGAGCCACAGCCTCTGACTAAATCTGTGCAGTTCATCCGTGGTACCTAAGTGATGGCGTCCGCGTTACAGACTGCACGCAAGCGGTGCCGCAACTCAGCCTTTGAAGAATTGCCCTCTCCCTGGCGTGTTCCGTGTTTCTGCTCCTCCCTTTAGCCTCTCAGGGCCCTCAGTGCTCTGCGACTTTGGAGTGATGGTGCTAACACATGTTTGTGGGTTAGAAATTTCATGCCCTAGTCAGAGATGTTATTGTTCCTTCATTCCTTGACTAAATATTTATTGAGCCCTTGCCAAATGATATTTGCTACTTGGGCATAAAGTGGGCTGATACGAAGATGAAAAAGACACCCTCCCTGCTAAGGTGGAGAGGAGGTGTGTTCATACAGGGTCAGAGGTAGTAGGAACACTCTTAGGGTAACAGTTCTTTGTCTAGAGATGAGCTTGCCCAGGGCTCAGCAAACTACAGTGAGGCCTTGACTTACGAGTGTCCCCACTAACGAGTTTTTTGAGATACCAGCTGTCTCTCTGCAGATTTTTTGCATTGAGTTGATAGAGTAATTTGAGTTAACGAGCTCCTTAACGAGCTCGGTCTCCGAACGAATTAAACTCGTAAGTCAAGGCCCCACTGTACTACTTATTTTAGACTCTGTGGCCAGAAGGTCCAACTACGAGACTCCCCGTTCCGTTCGGACAATGCCAATGGGTGTGGCTGTGTATCAGCAAAAATTTACCAAAACAGGCTGCGGGCCGGATTCAGGTTTTGTCAACCCCTCATCTAATCCACATGTTATTCAGAGTAGGAAACTTAGTCCCTGGAAGGTTAAATAACCATTACAGGCTCATGCAAATAGCACTGGCAGAGCCAGTAGTTAACATTCTGCCTTGATTCCAAGAGCATTGCTCATTTCACGGTCCCAGTGAGCCCCCTCCCTAGGCGGGGTGAGGCACAGGCACCAAAAAGTGCTTCCCTCCCCAGATTCCCTGCAGGTTGTTTTCTGATCCAGACTGATTATATATATTTTTTTTAATATATATTTTTTATTGATTTCAGAGAGGAAGAGAGAGGGAGAGAGAGATAGAAACATCAATGATGAGAGAGAATCATTGATCGGCTGCCTCCTGCATGCCCCTCACTGGGGATCGAACCCACAACCCGGGCATGTGCCCCTGACTGGAATTGAACCCAGGACTCTTCAGTCCACAGGCCGACTCTCTATCCATTGGGCAAAACCAGCCAGGGCTGATTAAATATTTTAATCTCCACCACAGGCAGCTCCAGCTAAACCTTCTCGGCCAAAAAGGCACTTCTCTTCTGCTGGCACCATCGAAAGTGTCAACCTGGATGCCATCCCCTTGGCCATCGCTCGCTTGGACAACAGTGCCGCCAAGCACAAACTGTCCGTTAAGCCAAAAAACCAGAGGGTGTCAAAGAAGCACAGGCGACTTGGACTTGCCGGGGTATGTAGAGCCCATCCTAGCTGACCAGGCAGCTGCCCTTGCTTGCTGGGCACTAATTCTCTTCTAATACTGGACTATTGGTTTTCCTGCGAGTATTCACATTAAGAACAAGGAACTTGAGAATGACAGATAAAGGGAGTAAACGTGAAGGTGTTCCTGCCACCCCCACAATCTACTCTGGGCCTGAGTTTACCTGTCTCTATACTTAGAACTGCCCCTTCTCTTTTTCTCCTTTACTCATCAAACACATTTTTATTGAGCACCTATTATGACACTGACTTAGGCCCTAGTGATAATACAGCAGAATACAAAACAGACAAAAATCCCTTCCCTTACAGAGCTCCTGGAGCTTACATTCTAGTGAACTCAAGACAACCCCTGGAGAAATGACCAAGTTGTGAGCCCAAAAGCAACCCCTCTGAGCAGTAGCAAAAGGGATTTCCTGCTGTTTAAGTGAGAAAGAAGCAAGAGGGCTCCCTTTTGCCACAGTCCGGGGGCAGGAGGTCAGTGGACGGGGCTCCCAGGGGCCACGCCAGGGCATTTAAAAGTCTGTCCCCAAACCAGGAGAGTAAGAGGGCCACCTGCATAGTGACTAGGAGAGGGATGGTTGCCTGTGTGTGTACAAGGAGAAAGCTAATTCTGTTTCCCTTGCCAACATTAGGCTCGACCAAATGAACAAGGAGGCCTTCCGAGCCAGCTGTCCCTGGACCAGAACGGACACCCTGGAGAAGACAAGCTGATGTGGCACGAAGAGGAGCCGGAGCCTCTGGACGCCGAGGAAGAGAAGAGATGCCAGGAAGAATACTGGCGAGAACTGGAGGCCAAGTGCAAGCGGCAGAAGGCGGAGGCAGCCGAGAGGAGACGCCTGGAGGAGCAGAGGCTCCGGGCCCTGGAGCAGCGGCTTTGGGAAGAGAACCGCAGGCAGGAGCTCCTGGAGGAGGAAGGAGAGGAAGAGGGAGAGGAGGGAGAACCACAGCCAGAGGCAGGGAAGAGGCAGTGCACAGAGGAAAGGCGGAGGCTGGAGGAGCAAGGTGGCCCAGCCCCAGAGTGCAGGGAGCCAGAGGAGGGCGGGCCCCAGGAAGCGGGAGAGCAGGAGCCCCCGGAGGAAGAGGCTGAGCGGCTGCAGAGCCTCGCGCACCAGGAGCTGGAGGCGCGGAGCAGACAGGAGGCGGAGAAGCGGCGGCAGGAAGCAGAGGAGAGAGAGTTGAAGGAACTCAGGAGACTGGAGGAGCTGGAGGAGCAGAGGCGGCGGGAAGCGGAGAAGCAGCGATTGGAGGAAGAGGAGAGGAAGAGGCAGGAGGAGGAGCTGAGGCTGCGGGAGGAAGAGGAGAGGAAGAGGCGGGAAGAGGAGGAACAGAGGCTGCGGGAGGAGGAGGAGGAGAGGAAGAGGCGGGAAGAGGAGGAACAGAGGCTGCGGAAGGAGGAGGAGGAGAGGAAGAGGCGGGAGGAGGAGGAACAGAGGCTGCGGGAGGAGGAGGAGGAGAGGAAGAGGCGGGAAGAGGAGGAACAGAGGCTGCGGGAGGAAGAAGAGAACCGGACGAAGGAGCTCAGAAGGCGGGAAGAGGAGGAGGCAAGGAGAAGGGAAGAGCCGAGAAAAAGGCAGGAGGAAGTGGAGGTGCAGCGGCGGCGGCGGGAAACGGAAAAGGAGCCTCAGGGAGCACGGAGAGGGGAGGAGAGCGGGCTGGGGGCGGACGACAGGAGCCCGCTTCAGACGGACTGTGCAGGGGAACCAGAGCACATGAAGCCGGAGAAGCAAAGAGAGAACGCCGAGGCAGCAAGTGCCTGCGGGAAGCAGAGTCCCGAGGCTGAGCCCCCCGGAGAGCCGCAGGCGCAGCGGGGGGATGCTCGCGGGCAGGATGGGTGTGCGGGCCCGGAAGAGAGAGGCGAAGCCCGCACACCCCCTCCCCAGAAACCAGGGGTGTGTGGGGACAGAGACCGCAGGGTGGAGGAGCTGAGGTGGCAGGAGGTGGAGGAGCGGCAGACCATGCCCCGGCCCTACACTTTCCAGGTGTCCTCGGGAGGGAAACAGATTCTCTTCCCCAAAGTCAACCTGAGCCCCATGACGCCCACGAGAGACGCGGGACTGGCCTCTGCTCCCCACCAGCCAAAGGCGCCCCGGGCCAGCCCGGCCCCCCACGCCCTGCCCTCGTCGCTGAGCATCCCCCACACGGCCATCCTGGTCACGGGGGCCCAGCTGTGCGGCCCCGCCGTCAACCTGAGCCAGATCAAGGACACGGCGTGCAAGTCTCTGCTGGGTTTGTCGGAGGAAAAGAAGCACGGGGACGCCCCCACCCTGGACCACCCACCCCGCGCCCCGGCCGACCCCCGAGCCGGCGGCGGCGGGAAGGCCCGGCCCCCCCAGGAGTCGGCGAGCAGCGCGGCTGCCCTGGCCGAGTGGGCATCCATTCGGTCCCGCATCCTGAAGAGCGCGGAGGGCGACCCGCGCGGCAAGAGAGACCAGCCCCCGCCTGGGGATGAGCCCGCGCCCCGGGGCCGCTGTGACTCCCGGGGGGCCCTCCGGAAGACCCCGCCAGGAAACGCCAAGTTCTCCATCATGCCTGCCTGGCAGAAGTTCTCGGACGGGGGCGCAGAGACCTCCAAACAGAGCGCGGGAGCTGAAAGCACGAGAAAAAGGCCCGGGCTGGGGGCCAGCGACCAGACAGCGCCCCCGCCCCTGGCTGCTGAGAGCGATGAGCCCCAGAAAGGCCCAGAGCCTGTGGGGGCGCGCCAGGAGCCAGCAGACACCACCGAGGGCTGCAAATTTGCCAAAGACCTTCCATCCTTCCTTGTTCCCAGCCCTCCGTACCCTCCGCAGAAAGCAGTGGCCCAGGCGGAGCCCGTGGCCACGTCGGGCAGTGAGACCGCCGGTGGCGCCGGAAAGCCGGACCCCGCGTTGCCAGGTGGGGAGGAAAAGGCCTCCTCACCTTTTGGGATAAAGCTGAGAAGGACCAACTACTCCTTGCGCTTCCACTGCGACCAGCAGGCAGAGCAGAAGAAGAAGAAGAGGAACAGCAGCACTGGGGACAGTGCAGAGGCGGGGCCGCCGGCACCAGCGTGCACGGCTGGAGAGAAGGCGGCAGAGGGTGCACCGGCCCTTAAGCATGGCCCATCCCTCCCCGCAGAGAGCAAGCAAGGCCCCGGCAGCTGGAAGGACTCTGCCGTAAGCCCTTCCAGCCCCCCTCCCACAGCCCAGCCTGGACCCCCACCGGTCAGCAGCCAGACCCCGGCCCCGGAGCTCACCAAGGCAGCAAACAGAATGCTGATGGCGCAGAAGCCAGCCCTGGCGCCCAAGCCCTCCGGTCAGACGCCACCGACCTCCCCGCTCTGCAAGCTGAGCAGGCCCTACCTGGTAGAGCTGCTGGCTCGGCGGCCGGGGAAGCCTGACCCGGAGCCCAGTGAGCTGTGCAAGGAGGGCCAGGAGCACCGTGAGCCTGCGCCACCCTCGCCACCACCTCCCAGGAGGGAAGAGAAGGAAGAGGCGGAAGCAGAGAGGAAAGCTGCAGCCCCACAGGAGAAGCCTTCCCAAACGCCCGAGGCCGGGAGGAAAGGTACGTAGCCCTGGGTCGGAAAACTGCCTCTGTCCAGCTGGTTGTCCACGTCACAGCTAAAGCCAGGCTGCCCAAGGCTGGAAGTAGCCAGTGGAGCTCCAGTGGCAGCAGTTCCCCTCATGAGAAGCCCGTTTGCCATTCCTGGAGGGAGGGAATCTCAGTGAGGCTCTTTACTTTTGTGAAGAGGAAACGTTTGTGGCCCAAAGCTTTTTGGAAAGTTTATTGAGCCACATGCTGGCTGGAAAGGGGCCGGGGGCAAGCAGTCTGAACCACCAGCAGCAACAGGGCTAGGTGGAGAAGACAAGCATGTCCCCGAGCTTTTCATGCCCTGGATGTGGGGAAGGACGAGGTGAGTGGTTTCCAAAGGCTTTCCCTTGGCTATAGATAAGGTGGAAAGGTGAAGCAGAGACGTCCTGGGATAGGTGCAGGGTTCCTAGGAGGGATTGCGGTCACACCTCATTTCTCGAACGTCTCCCATCTTGAACAATTCGATCCCCAACCAAGCTATTCACAGAAAGAAATGTCAGTTGTCGAACCAGTCTTCGGTTTTTGACCTGACAACCCCTTCATGCTGATACTTCAGCATGACATAAAGCATCTCTCAGGCAACAAACAAAGGAGAGTGCTTTCGTAGCTGGTGAAATCGGTGATTAGAACAATCTTAAAAGATAAAGAGGCCCTCAACGGTGCTGATGTTGCTAAGGGTGTGAAAGAAGCAAGGATCACAGGCAATTGAAGAGGCAGAAAAACTGTTGATTTGGATAAAGGAAAAGCAGGTGGCCAGTGACAGCATTTCCTAGGCAGTGATATATGAACAAGCAAAGATACGCTGCTTCTGACCTGAAAGACATCCCTGGAATGAATGCTGAAAGTGATTCCTTTAAGGCTAGTAGCAGGTGGTTCAATAAATGTAAGAAAAGCAGTGTTTGTTTATGGATTAAACAGTACATTAGACATGTACTGTATACAAGAAAGGTTAAAACAGGGAGTCATTTGGGGGGTCTGAAGTGGATTAAGTCTACCAGACCTGAGGCCCTGAACCTAACTGTCCCCTATACCTGGGCTCCTGAGCATTAAAGAGAAAAAACCAACATGATATAAAAAAAATGTTAGTTACATGCAAACAAGTGGTTAGAATAAGATGGAACTTGGAGACATTGTAGAAAATAGGTCTACCTTTCATCTACCTTTCATCTAGCGCCAATATTCCACCTTTGTGTGGAAATTACCTAAAAATCGGTACAGCCGTCTGGTAGTATTAATTCAGTTTACATTATTTCTTTAAAATGGGGGGAAATGATTTAGTTTTTCTAACAAATCGCTTCTCGAACAGCCTTCGGAGCTAATTAAGTTTGAGAACCGAGGTTCCACTGCATTTGCTACTTTTGGATTGGCTGTGGGACGACAGTCCGAAAGCGCATGCATAAGCAAGCTGTGGTGGCGTCTGGGCCGTCCGCCAAGCCCCTCAGATAAACGCCATCTGGAAGCTGATGCGACGTTTCAGCGTCCATTCAGGCATGGAGGCAGCCTTTTGTTTCTGCCGACAGTCATTACCTGGTGGGCCTCCCTTACATCTCTCTCCCCTTTTCTGGCCCACTGTCATTTAATGTAGGACACTCCCAAATTTTTCTCATCATTTTTCCACTCTTCTTCACCATTTTGGAAATCCGAACTGATTCTGCTGTGTATCTGGGGCTCACGCCCATTCATATTTACCGAACACAAGTTAAAGGTGCCCACAGCAATGAAATACCCCAGTGAATGAAGATGCCCTGGTCATTGGGAGGGGCAGTGAGGGTAAAGACTGGGCTTGCCTAGAGGATCGACTGCTGTCTCTGGGCAGTAGCAATACCACAGTAGGCAGGGAGGGGGCTTCCAGCAGCTCCACTGGCCTAGGGGCCTCTGCCTGAATAATTGGCTGGGTCTCAGGTTTATGCAAAATGCTCTACAACGGCACCCCCACGCCACCAGCTTGCCACTGGGAAGCCCTCCAATAAAAGAAATTGTAGAGCAGGGGTCCTCAAACTACGGCCCGCGGGCCACATGCAAATACAAATATTGTATTTGTTCCCGTTTTGTTTTTTTACTTCAAAATAAGATATGTGCAGTGTGCGTAGGAATTTGTTCATAGTTTTTTTTTTTAACTATAGTCCGGCCCTCCAACGGTCTGAGGGACAGTGAACTGGCCCCCTGTTTAAAAAGTTTGAGGACCCCTGTTGTAGAGCCACCCTCACTCCTGGCTGCCCCTCTTGGCTCTTCAGACCGGATGTTTGGGACCGCTCCCTGGCCACTTGGATTGGCTTTGGGACCCCTAAGAGCGTTTACCTGGTAGTTCTCACTTCTGTTTTGCAGAGCAGGCCAAGTGTGGCCATAGCCCAGAAGTCTCACATCTCGGAGAAATTCTCCCCTGAGGTGTTTTAGGGAGGGATTGTTTTTATTTCTTCTGTTTAATTGTTCAGGGTTAGGGTGGTTCTTGCAGAGAAAAGAGCCTGTGTCCTGAGGGGTATTGGTTGGTTGCTCACCCTGCCATCCAGTTTAACCTAGACTTGCCCTGTTTCCTGGACTGTCGACCAGCAGTTTCCAAACCATTTCTCCCTGATGGTTTCTGTCTGTCCTGACAGTGAAGAGCCCGTTTCTCAGCCTTTGGTTTTCCTTTCAGCCTCTGCACTGGGCCCCGGGGAGATAGCCACAGTGAGTACCTGGGAGCCCATTAAGAGAGGTCCCTTAGTTGGAAGCAAGCCCCGTTGGCTTTCAGAGCTAGGTATTTTAGGGGCCTTGTCTCTCAGGCAGAAGTCTTAGAATTTGGGGCACCAAATGTAGGGTCCACCCCCACCCCCTTTTCTCTCCCCAGGTTGTGAGTTGCAATGCCTGGGGGTGGGATTTATGGTGAAATTGTGTCTCAGTCTCTCCTATTCATTTGCCCAATGCAGTAGCTCTCAACCTTGGCTGCACATTAGAATCACCTGGGAATCTTTTTAAAATCCTGATTTCTGGGCCTCATCCTCCAGAAATTCTGTTTCTTTGTTATGGGGTGGGGCCACAACATTAGTAACAAAGAAACAGAATTTCTGGAGGATGAGGCCCAGAAATCAGGATTTTAAAAAGATTCCCAGGTGATTCTAATGTGCAGCCAAGGTTGAGAGCCACTGGCCCAATGTGTAGGCGTCACTCAACTAGTTTCTGGATTTTAGTCAGAGGCAGTTGTTCTGTATGTAGCTGCAGACTCAGTATGTCTGTGGGAGGTGGGGGTTCGGGACCCTATGTCACCATCCTGAACCAGAACACCAATTTTTAGTTTTTTATAATATGTTTTATTGATTTTTAGAGAGAGAGAGAAGGAGAGGGAGAGAGAGAGAGAAAGGGCAATAAGAGAGAATCATCCATCTGCTGCCACCTGCACGCCCCCTACTGGGGATCGAGCCTGCAACCCGGGCATGTTCCCTGAACCGGGATGGAGCCTCAAGCCTCTGGGTGCCTGGGTCCATGCTCAACCACTGAGCCATACCGGCCAGGCCCCCACTTTTAGTTTTCACATTAGCTTTTGCACCAGTAACTTTTGTAGTCATCAAAGCCCCTCTCACAGCCTGGCCTGCTCCAGCACACTCCGATCTTCTCCCCTAAAAAATAACGTTCCAACACTGCAGCTTTCTCTTACACTTTTCCCTTTGGTTATAATGTTCTACCAAAAGCTATTCCTGCTCCTGTTTTCTTTACCAGTATCCAGATTCTAGGCTGTCAGGCTCCACTAATTGACTTTTTCTTTATTTGGTAGAAAAGAAGCATGAAAACAAGGACCTTATGCCTTGTGAATGGTTGCTGCCTAAAGACTCTTCTGTCTGACTCTAGACCAGGGCTGACCAAATTTGTTTGACTAAACACCCCATTGGAATAAATTGCCTGGTCCTCCAATTTATTTGTTAACTGTGTCCATGTTAAAACCCCTGGAGCGCCATATATACACTTAGGGTGCAGTTCACTGAAGCAGTAGCGGATGTAAATCCATATTGCAAATTGTGGCATTATCTTTTATTTCTTTGGCCAACTTCTTGTCAGATCTGATTTCTTCATAAAGTGGCAGGCACAGCGCTTGTCAGCTCTACTGTGGCCTTATGCTTGCATTATTGGAAGTATAGTAAATCTGTGGTCTGTTTGCAGGAATTGTCCATTTCATAAAGGGTCATTTAGATCAAAGGAGATAGGACATTCATAAACTTACCTAACCGCAGAACCTCACCGTATGCTAAAAGCCAAGCCAGTGAGGACAGGATTGCTGGTTCTCGTCTGAGCACTCCCAGCTTCCCCCGGGAGTCTCTACACATGCCATTTGTTGTACCTGGCCTTCTGGTCTATGGTCTGAGTGAGAATGTCAATGCCAATCTAAACATCAAATACTAGATGCCCGGTGCACAAAAATTTGTGTACTCAGTGGGGAGTCCCTCAGCCTGGCCTGTGCCCTCTTGCAGTCTGGGACCCCTCGAGGGATAACCACCTGCTGGCTTAGGCCTGCTCCCCGGGGGATTGGGCCTAAGCTGGCAGTCAGACATCCCTCTGGTGGCCCAGGAGCCCTCGGGGGATGCCCACTTGCCATCAGGGAGCAGGTCTAAGCTGCAATCAGACATCCTTAGCGCTGCTGAGGAGGCAGGAGAGGCTCCCACCACCACCGCTGTACTGGCAGCTGTCAGCCTGGCTTGTGACTGAGCAGAGCTCCCCCTGTGTGAGCACACTGACCACCAGGGGGCAGCTCCTGCATTGAGCGTCTGTTCCCTGGTGATCAATGTGTGTCATATTGACCAGTCATTCCCAGTGGTTCTGCTGTTAGGGTCAATTTGCATATTACCCCTTTTATTATATAGGATAGAGGCCTAGTGCATGGGTGAGGGGCAGCTGGTTTGCCCTGAAGGGTGTCCAGATCAGGGTGGAGGCCCTCAGGGGTGACTGACCAGCCTGGGTGAGGGGTTGAGGGCCATTTTCAGACTGGCCACACTCCCTTCAGGGTGGGGGTCGCCGCTGGAGTGCCTGGCCATCCTGGGTGAGGGGCTGAGGGCCGTTTGCAGGCTGGCCACAGCCCGTTCAGGTTAGGGGTCCCCCTTGGGGTGCCTGGCCAGTTTGGGTGAGGGGCTGATGGCTGTTTGAAGGCTGGCCACAGCCCCTTCAGTGTGGGGGTCCCCACTGGGGTGCCTGGCCAGCCTGGGTGAGGGGCTGAGGACCGTTTTCTGGCTGGCCACAGCCCCTTCAGGGTGGGGGGTCCTGCTGGGGTGCCTGGCCAGTCTGGGTGAGGGGCTGATGGCTGTTTGCAGGCTGGCCACGGCCCCCAGCCATCCAAGTTCCCAGTGAAGGCTGGCTGGAAGCAGGTATCTGGGATTTATTTAGCTTCTATAATTGAAACTTTGTTGCCTTCAGCGGCCAGGGCAGGCAGGAAGCTTGGCTTCCTCCATCGCTGGGGCAACCAAGCCTTCTGCTTGCTCCAGCTTCTTGGCTGCCGGCCGCCATCTTGGTTGGGTTAATTTGCATATAGTCGCTCTGATTGGTTGGTGGATGTGGCTTGAGGCATAGCGAAGGTATGGTCAATTTGCATGTTTGTCTTTTATTAGATTAGAAAAGGTTGATTTCACTTTTATTTTTATATTTTTAAAGATGTATAAATAGAAATTCTAAGCTTTTCTTCCTTTACCCCCAGTGAATGGCCTTGTGCATCCCCTAGGGCACACACACCCTTTTTGTTTGAGACCACTGCTTTAGAAAGAGGTTTCTATTCCTGGGACCCAGGCCAGCGAGGACCAATACCAAGGTGAAGCCACTGGGAGGGCAGAGACTCTGAACCAATCCCGATGAGAATTAATATAGCAATGATCGCCCAACCCCCCCCCCATCCCCCCACCACCACCACACCCCCGCCGTGTTTCTCCTGTAACACTTTGATTACAGATATGTCATTCGGAAACTCCCAGCCCCTGAGCCCCTGACGGTGGGTAGAACAGATAGTAACTGGTCTTTTCTCCAAGCCCTGACCCTGGGGAGCAATGATTAGAACCCCGTAAATGCCAGGAGGTGCCTGCGTGTCTCCCCGGGACCTGAAGGAGGGAACTTAAATGGGCTGTGGCTCTGCTTGTCCACTGAGTTTAGAATGAGAGAGAATAGGTTTAAACATTGCAACAAAATAAAATTTTAATGACATATTCTGAACTCCCTGACCAAAAAGGTTATGTGATTAACAAAGAACATATCTATCTTTCAAAACCTTGAATGAAATGAGTGATTTTACTGCTTTGGAAAATTTCAAAAGTCATCCTTTGTGCTTAATTATTTACAAAGTGTTTTTATTTATAACATTTAGTTCAGCCTCACGGCATATGTAGAGGTAGACAATCTTAGCTCAATTTTACAGATGACAACACCAACGTCTGAGAAGTCTGATGACTTGTCTGCTCTCTACAGTGGTAAAGCCAGTTTGGGGAAGAGTTCTCTCCCAGGTAAAATGATCTTCCCAGTAACCTAGGACCGCCTCCAGTAACTCTCACCTGGCATTTGTAAAATGCTGTTAGCCTTGAAAAACATTTCTCATTATGTCCTCATGTTACTTCCTGGACCTTACACATATATTTGTTCAAAACAACATTGTTTAAAAATGCCATAGGATTTAGCAAAGCCTTCTTGTCTTGTTCCTTTTCTTGCAGTTCTTTTAAACCTGATCTATGATTCTCATTTTTCCCTGCATCTCTTGGATAATATTTTGGGCACAGTTCTTTTAGTCACTTTAGAAAACAATTTTTATTGTGGTCAAAGTGTGTAACATAAAATTGGCTATCTTTTCTCAGTGTACAGTTCAGTAGTCTTAAGCATATTTCACATTGTGCACAGCAAATTTTTCATCTTGCAAAACTGAAACTCTATAAGCATTAAACAACATTCAACTTTCTGTTTCTATGAATCCTTCTACTCTAGAAGCATCACATAAGTGGAATCATCTAGTATTGTCTTTTTTGGTGACTGGCTTATTTCACTTAGTACAATGTCTTCAAGGTTCATCCATATTGTAGCATATGACAGGATTTCCTTCCTTCTTAAGGCTGAATGACCTACCCTTGTGTGTATATACCACACTTGATTTATCCATTCATCTGTCCATGGACACTTAGACTGCTTGCACTTCTTGGCTCGTTTGACTAGTGCTGCTATGACCATGGGTGTGCAAACATCCCATGTACTTTTGGATAAAAGCCCAGAAATGGAATTGCTGGGTTCTGTGGTAGTTCTATTTTTAATTTTTTTCAGAACTACCCTGTTTTCCACACCAGCTGTACCATTTTACATTCCCACCAACAGTGCACAGAATTCTAATTTTCCACATCCTCGCCAACACTTGTTATTTTCTGTTTGTTTTTTTTTACAGTAGCCATCCAAATGGGTGCGAGGTGATACCCTCATTGTGGTTTTGATTGCATTTCCCTAATAATTAGTGATATTGAGCATCTTTCTATATGCTTGTTGGTCATTTGTATGTCTTCTTAAGAGAAATGTCTATTCCAGTCCTTTGTTCATTTTTAATTGGGTATTTTGTTTTTTGTTGTTAAACGGTCAGAGTTCTTCCTATAGTTTCTGTCACTTTTTGAAAAGAAAAAGTCCCCTAGGCACTTGCAGTAACAACAGTCTCATGTTAGTAATTAATATGTCCCCTCCAGTGTCCTAATCAGAACTCCAAACACTATTTCAAATTAAAGTGTTTCCCTTCTTAGAGGAGTTAAGTAGCTTTCCTAAGGTCACAAAAGGTCAAACCCAGGTCAGCTATCACCCATCTGTGAAGTGTGTTTACCCCAGTTGCATAGGCAAGACAGTCAATGTAAGAGAAACACAGACTGGAAGCCGGAAGCCCTCGGTTCACAATTCAGCCTGTACACTAACTGCTGGGTGACCTCGGACACGGGACTTGGTCACTGTGGACCCCATTACTCATGTCTATCAAAGGAGGGCACTGGGCCAAAATAATGGTTCCCACTGGGTTCCTCAGAGCCCTGCTGCCCTTAGCAGCCCCCGGGGCAGAACAGTGCCCCCATTTTCCTCTTTCATACTTTGGGGTTCCACATAGGATACTGTTTGTAAGGGGGGAAAGTTTTTGCACAAATTTTGAAAAGCAGTAAATTAAAAAAGAACAACAATGAATCAAATAACCCCCTGGGTCCCTTGTGGGTCTGAGATTTTATGACACTGGAGATTTTTTTTCTATTTAGAGGGAAGAGAAAGGCTCTTGTTTCTGTTGATCAAAGATAGTACTTTCCTACCCAGTGGAGTCGCTCAGGCATGAGCACGGAGTTTTATTAGGAAGGGCCAGTTGAATGTTCAGCGGGCTGATGAATACGTCAACACAAGTTTTAGGGGGTGAGGTACTGAGGTATGAGAACAGTTCATTTCACTGAAAGCTGGCTTTTGTCTTTACTAATTCTGGTCACAGTTCAAAGGTGTGTGTTGCAGGGGAGGGAGTCCCACACCACCAGCAATTCTCAGACACCAGCTGGTGTCTTACAATTCAACTCAAGATGGTGTTCTATTCTACAGGTTAAGGGCTTAGTCCCATAAGACTGTACCTTCAGATCCAGGTGCTTCTGACTGGTTAAAATCAGAGGTTCCCAGGAACCCCCTCCTTGGGTTTGATTAATATTCTCGAGTGGCTCATGGAACTGAACTCAGAGAAACATTTGACTTACTAGATCACTGGTTTGTTATAAAAGGATAGAACTCGGGAACAGCCAGGTGGAAGAGATGCATACAAGGATACAAGGTATGGGGAAAGGGCGGGGAGGTCCCATGCTCTCTGGGTGGCCAACCTCCCAGCACTTCCACCTCATCACCAACCCAGAGCTCTCCAAACCCTGACCTTTGGGGTTTTTTGGAGACTTCATTACACAGGTATGATTGGTTTTATCTTTGGCAATTGATTCAACCTCCAGGCTTCCCCCCTCCGAGGAGGTTGGGGGGTGAGATTGTAAGTTCTAATCTTCTGATCGCTCAGTTAGTTCACCCAGCAACCAGCCAACCACCCCCCCTCCTTAAGTGTGGTCCCAAAGTAGCCTCATTCACATAACATGAGACACCTTTACGTTCTCATCACTTAACTCTGTGCCAGAAACAGGACAAAGACCAAATATGTATTTCTTATTATAAATCACAATATCAGTCATTTTTTCCCCCACAGAAAAGCCGGTGCTTCAGAGCAGACACTCTTTAGATGGCTCCAAACTTGTGGAGAAAGTTGAAACCGCGCAGCCACTGTGGATAACGTTAGCCCTGCAAAAGCAGAAGGGGTTTCGGGAGCAGCAAGCGACTCGAGAGGAGAGGAAGCAAGCGAGGGAGGCCAAACAGGCAGAAAAGCTCTCCAAAGACAACGTGAGTAGCCTGGTCTTCAGCTTTAACCTTGCCTTTCTGAGCTTGGCTCTTTCATGGCTGCAAGGACTTACAAAAGGAAAAGGAAGCCCAGCCAGTGTGGCTCAGTGGTTGAATGTCCACCTATGAACCAGGAGGTCAGGGTTCGAGTCCCAGTCGGGACACATGCCAGGGTTTCAGGCTCGATCCCCAGTAAGGGGCAGCTGATTCTCATCACTGATGTTTCTTTCTCTCTCTCCCTCTCCATTCCTCTCTGAAAGCAATTTTAAAAATTTTTTTTGAAAAAAAGGCTAACTGGGAGTGGTGTAGAATATCTAGAAAGAATAGAGCAATAAACAAATTAACCACCATTAGACAGGAAAGCACTTTCAGTCAGAAATTTTATTCAGTCCCCTTATGCTATTAGGGTAACTTGATTTGGCAGAATTCACAATGTAATTAGTAGGAACAATCCACACACACGACAGTTACGTGAGGAATATGAAGATGATTGTATGGGAGCAGGGCTTTGGGAGGAAATCATTCTCTCTCTGTGACCCTGCTCTTACAGTTAACTTGACGGGGCTCTTCGAGGAAAGTTGCGTTCCCTCTTGGGGACATTTGTACTGAGCTCCTTCATGATCGGGGCCAGGGCTGGAGACACGTTGCTCCCAAGTGCACTCCCGCTGCTCCTTTGGGAACAGAGGCTGGTGCTGACCGGCGGAACCCCCAGGCCCTGCACTGTGCGCCTTTGCATGTACTTAGGTTGGAAACATACTTTTCCTGACTTTCTCTGCCCACCCAGGTCAGTGTCAGTCCACAGCCAGGAAGCAGCAGTGTCAGCAGAGCTGGATCCCTGCTCAAGTCCATGGCTCATCCAGAAGACAAGAAGCCGGAGACAGCAGGGTCCAGGCTTGAGCGCAGAGAGCAGCTGAAAAAGGCCAACACCCTTCCCACATCTGTGACAGGTAGCGAGAGCAGGACCATTTCTGTTTGACCTCAGTTACAGGTTTCCCTCCTTGGAGCATGCTTTATTTCCTCAGGTGTAATAACACCACAGGCTGTTTCACCACCTCTCTCATAAACTTAGACACTGATCATCAGCTCATCGGACAGACCACCAGAAACTGTCAGTGGTGTGATGGCCAATGTTTTAGCAATCAGTTAGGGAGCAGAGAATCCTCTGATTTGTAGTATTTGCCATGTACTGTGGTGTAAATATTCCCACCATGGCCAGTTTCAACCTATCAATGTGGTCTGATAAATTTCTGAATTTAACAAGGTGTGATATGAGCCATCTCCAATGCCCCACTGCCTGTAGTCCAACAAAACTAGGTTTATTAACTTGCTGTAGTTAGGGAGACTACATATCTTAAGGACCTCTAAACAAAGGAAGAGATACGATTCTAGTAGGATTTGGGGAAAAGGGTGAAGTTTAGGTAAAATTTAAGTGGAGCAGAATTTTGATAGGCTTAAAGCAAAGCGAGGGTGTGGGGTGTACATGAAGGGGTTGATATCAGGCCTGAGTTGAAAAGTGGACTCAGGGCCCTGTTTTCCTGGCACTACGACGTTAAAATAAATGTGTGAAAGTTGTATCTGAAAACCCCCACCTGGAGCTCTGTACCTGGGATGGAAACAGAAGCTGTGTTTGAGTCAGTGACCCAGGTGGCTGAGATGCTCCAAAGTGGGATGGTCCCTTTCACCAATGCGATTTCAAAGGGCAAGTGTCTGACCAGCTGTGACTTCAGAGAGCAAGGTTGTTCGGCTCAAAGTCCTGGATGTTAATTAACAACAGCAGTGTTGATACATTCATGACACTTTCTAAAAGATACATACACATTTTTAAAAAATCCTTTATTCTAATAAAAGGTAAAATGATCCATAATGTTTCCAACTATGTGCTTATTACAAATCGCCTGGAGGAGGGTTGAATCTAAACAAGTTTCCTCCAGGGTTAATAGGGCATGTTGTGCACCCTGGGCAGCCCTGTTCCCAGGAGGGCATCCAACCTCCAGACCCAGGGTTTTTGTACGCCTTGGTTACCTGCGTGCTGAGTTCTGGAAATGTGAAGAGGTCTCACCATCAAAGCTATATTTACTATTTGGTGAGGAGAAAACAATTTTTTTGGAAACTGCTTTGGAGCACTGTGCAATTTCACAAGAACCTCCATGGGTATTATTTCATTAGGCTTTTATATCCAGGAATTAGGGGTTCTATACATTAAATGGGTGTGTCAGAGAGAATTAGTTCAAAATCAAGTGAGAAGCTCCAAAATCAGAGATTACACCTTTCTCTGCCCTGATTTCTTGGAAGCTCCAAAGCAGTGGTTCTCAACCTTCCTAATGCCGCAACCCTTTAATACAGTTCCTCATGTTGTGGTGACCCCCAATTTCATTGTTACAAATTGAACATAATTAAAGCATAGTGATTAATAAAAACAATATGTAATTATATATGTGTTTTCCGATGGTCTTAGGCGACCCGTGTGAAAGGGTTGTTTGACCCCCAACGGGGTCGCGACCCACAGGTTGAGAACCACTGCTCCAAAGGGTTACTGCAGTTCAGGTGGCTCCAGTTATGATAGCTAGCCTTTGTTCTGAAATACTGTATTTGTCTTTCCCACCAGTAGTTCCTGAGGTCTGCTTTGGGTGGGAACCCTCACCTTAAGAAGTGTTTATGACGTGGTAAGAAAGCAATATGAGGCAAAGGAATTGCTAGACAAGACCGAGAGTCCTCAGAGCTGGCAGGATCTGTGGGCCTGCGGGGGCAGGAAGCCCAGGCGTGCCTGGTGGGGGCAGGCACTTTTGACCTCACCAGCTTGATAAATCCAAACTGCTTGTTTGTTCGTTTTCTTCATGACATTGATTGGCTATATGATTAGAATCACAAAATTTACCTTTTATTTTTTATTATCATGCAGACCTAGCTTCTGTGCACAGAAAAAAAATGCTTCTAGAAATGATCTGAAATTAGAACTGACTGCACTGTGATCACTATAACGTTGCACGTTAACAGTTACAATCACATAGCTTGCTTTCTCTAATTCGCAACGAAGATGCCCAGTGTCTCACCGAGTTTTCCTTTCTGAATCCCATTGTATGATACATCAAAGTGTGGCTCTGACTCATACCTTTCTCCTTTTCCTTCAAAATGCAACCCAGTGGAGATCTCTGATTCGCCTCCCCCAGCGCCACTGGTGAAAGAAGTCACAAAGAGGTTTTCCACCCCAGATGCTGCTCCCGTGTCAACAGAACCAGCCTGGCTGGCTTTGGCCAAAAGGAAAGCCAAGGCCTGGAGCGACTGCCCACAGATTATTAAGTAAAGAGTGACTCTTCTCCATTCCTATTCCCAGTTATTGGCTCCTCTCTTGTCCTTTTTATTTATTTATTTTTTATATGAGGTAAAGAAACCAAGCTAGGGAAAAGAAGCATGTTTTATAGGCTCTAAAATAACATTTAGAAACTGAACTGGTGGTATTCCTTGTAAGAGTGTATTTGCACAACCCTAGGTCCTGGTGCCTTGAGCTCCTCCTAGTTCTAAAGAGAAAGTTCTGTCCGAGGGACCACAGGAAGCAAGATCTCCTAAGAACTCCTCAGGAGAGCCTGCCACCCCATTCCACATGGACACCCACACACCACTGAACATGTACTTTTGCCAATCTTTATCATGGTTTTTTGACTCTGTGCTCCAATTTCTTTCATCCAAAACCTTTACCCTGCCATATTTAAGGATTTCTATCTTCTTCTACAGCAATGGTGAAAGGACCACAGGGAGAGAGAAATAAGAACTCTCCTTCTCCTGAGTGCAGCCAGTAACTGAATTGCAAGTCACAGTCTGGCTCCCAACTCTGTGCCCATGTCTGGTTTTCATGAATTTTCCCCAACCTGAACTAACACAGAAAGGGAATCCATCCACGCCTCATCCACACTGATCCACAGACCCCATTACACCAGGACTCTCCTTCAGGACATGTTCAACATTTGGCCCATTTAGCTCCTAGGGAACATTTTTCTTTAATATGGTAAAAAAAGGAAACTACCAATGCTCTTTCTGTCTGAGACTCCCCCCATCTAGTGCAGTTGTTCTTGAGATGTCCAGGCTCCATCAGGCCTAGAAATGTATATTCTGGCAAAACGCTTCAAATGAATTGTGATATAGCCAAGGTTGAGAACCTTGGAATACACTGCTTCTACTGTAATCTAGATTTGAAAACTTTGGGAGACTCTGCACCCAAAGAAGCAAAAGTGAGATGGGAAAAATAATAAAACCATTAACAGGAAGATAAGATTTGGAGCCTTTGTACTAAGGATCTCCTGTGGGAAGTTTCCTTCTTTACCATAACTGACTAATTCATATTCAGAGTCAAATATTCAATAGCATTTATCATTCAGAGCATTCACCTTGCTACCTTTAAAAAACATCTCAGAGTTTTAAGTGGCCTTGTTATTATACACATGTGATACAAAGAAGGGACCTGGCTATTTAAAAGCCACATATAGTCACTATTTCCCTAAATTTGCTTTACATGAAACATAGACATACAGCAAGCCCACACATTGCTGCTGCTCATTTTACATTTCGTGGTGTTGGCACACTCCCATTTTCTTAGCTCCTGACTCCCAAGTATAAGTACAGATCTTTTGCCCAGTGCAAGGAAAATTACATCCTTTTTTCCTCTTCTACAGAAAAATACATTTTATTATTATGCATCATTATTCTCCTTTATGCTCACTTAACAGGCAATGTGCTATTATTCTGTGCTGTTATTCTACCATTTACCTTACAGAAAGGATGACTGGCAGTTATTTACCATATAGAAGGCATTTTCTTTCTGGAGACGATGGCTCGGCCTTATGGTAGCAGCTGGCATGTGTGGTCATAAGGATAGCCGTACTCTTGCAAGTAGGATTTAATATTATATATATACATACTGGACCTTCAGACTGTTAAGAGTCAATGGAACTTTAATTTTTTTTATCGCTATGGGAAGCAATACTCTACTGCACGTTTTCCAGCTGATGTTCATTTTTAAGTCAAATATGTAGACATTTGTTAGTTTCAATGATTTCCTCACTAATATAACACTTTTTAATAGGAGTTTTTTCACCCGAGTCCTGGAATTTTAGTGCTACAGTAATTCATCTGAATTGACCTTTTCTATCATCTTATCAGTTTTGGATGTCACAGTAATGGCAGAGAGCAAGTGAAGAAATCTGATTAACGAAGAATGGTAGATGAGTGCACTCTGTACTGGCTCACTTACCATAAAGCCCATACGAAATAGGAGAAATAACTCAGTTAAAAAGTTTCCTTCAAAATCTTTAAAAGAAGAGTATACTGAGGAAAGCACAGTCACAGCATTTACTTCCAACAACTTCTAAAGGCTATATGTTTAATATTTCATGTAAAAATTACTCCAAATTTGCACTAAATACCAATGAAGTGTTATTTTGCTTTAATTGTGTTGCAGTCTTTTCTCATCAACAAACTATGGGGGAAATTCTGTAAAAACATAAAAAATTCAAGACTTTTAAAAAAATCCTATTGCAATGTTAAATACACAGGTGGGTTTTTGTTTATTTGTTTTTAATTAAAACACACACACACTTCCCTTGGCAAGGTTCTAGATGATTAACTTCTGTTCATAGACATATATATATATAACTAGAGTTTTTGTTTACTTTTTAAATTTTTCAAGTGCAATTGTTTCTTATACATTAATTACTATTAAATTATCATTTTAGCCAGTTATCAGCAAATTGTAGTATGTATTGTCTCTTCTTGTGACATTTAGCTTAATTGCTTATTTTAAAGCAGAAATATTAGAGTTACAAGTGTCTTGCAATATTTTTACCAACAATAAAATTAAGTAGAGGCTTAACCATGAAAATACCTTAGTGTGATTTTAATATTATTTTTAGATTTTGGTTGTATAAAGTTTTAATGTAAAATGTCCATTATTAAAGGAAAAATGATCTTTCAATAAAAAATACCCACAAGATCTTTAGCACCAACAGAATTTCCTTTTCAAGTTTATGTCTTTACTAATTTCAAGCAAGCTCATATTTACATAGCTTTTGTTGCAAAAGAAATACTTCAAGGCATTTTATATGGTACCTTATTATATTTTTTACTAGGTGTTTTTGGAGAAAACTAATGAATAGGGTCAAATAAAATGTTTATCTTAATCCTCAGTTGGAATCAAATGGTCTGTGTCTCAGACAATATGATCCTACAGCCTCCTGACTCTGAGAGTGGGTGATGGAACAGCAGCATGTTTCAAAGCTGAATGCACGTGAAAAACACAGCTTAGGGCCCGGGCCAGAGCTACTGACCCACGTGGCTGGACTAGGTCCAAGTGAGTGATGTGGGTGAGGTAGTTGCCTTGGTGCACAAAAACTCAAAATACTGTTTTGGAGGTGAGTCCAAGATGGTGGTATAGGAGGTTGCTAAGCTTGCCCTCTTCCAAAAATACATCAAATTATACCTACATTTAGAGCAGTTCCTCCTGAGAGACAACTGAGGGCCAACAGAGCAGCCTCTGCACAACAAACAAGAGACCACACAGAAGAGGCTGGGAACCACAGCAGCTCTCCAGGAGCTTAGGGAACTACCCAGGACAGGAAAAACGGGTAAGCGCCACCGTTTACATTTCCCCTGCACTTGGATGGCGGGCCCAAGTCCTATCCAGGTTCTCTGGCTGATCAGCAGGGCCGTGTTCGCATGTCCCCAGCTTCCTGGAGCTAGATCCAGCAGGATCAGGAGGGTGCCATAGCCCGCATACATGAGGACCCTGCACCTGAAGATTGACACTTAAACTCTAAAGAAGATGCCCCCCAAAAAATAAAAATAAAAATAAATAAATAAAGATGCCCTAACCGGTTTGGCTCAGTGGATAGAGCGTCAGCCTGTGGACTGAAGGGTCCCAGGTTCGATTCTGGTCAAGGGCATGTACCTTGGTTGCGGGCACATCCCCAGTGTGAGGTGTGCAAGAGGCAGCTGATCGATGTTTCTATCTTTCCCCCTTTCTCTCTGTAAAACAATCAATAAAAAAATATATTTAAAAAAAAAAAGAACCACACAGGCTCGCTCTCTCTCTCTCTCTCTCTCTCTCTCCCCCCCCCCCCAAGCAGGTGCTCAAATCTTCTTATCACATGTCCTTTCCTAAGCTCCAAGGGCCCTTCTCTTGCCTCTGTAACTTGTTTCCTTAGCCCAGTTCTTCAATGGCTCACTTTTACTACCTCTATAACTTTCTAAACAAACTTCCTCTTATAATTTTGAAAAAAAATGTGATACATATATACAATGGAAAACTACTCAGCCATAAAAAAGATAAAATACTGCCATTTGACCTAATGTGGGTGAATTTTGAGAGTATTATACTAAGTGAAATAAATCAGGTGGAAAAAGACAAGAACTGTATGATTTTACTTGTATGGGGGATATAAAACCAAAAGCAATAAATGAACAAATAAATTCACAGATACAGACAACAGAATGGTGGTTACCAAAGTGGAAGGGGTTGGGGGAAAGATGAGAAGGATAAAAGGGGTCAAATATATGGTGACAGAAGGAGATTAGACTTCAGCTGGTGAGCACACAGTAGAGTATGCAGATGTCATAAAGTTGTACACCTGAAATTTACATAAGGTTATTAACTAATGCTATCCCAATAAATTTTATTTAAAAAATTTAATAAGGGACCTAATTTGATGAATAGCTCCTACCTTTAAAAATCTTTTGTTACGAATCTCAGTATAAATGAGTGAATGGTGTATTACCTCACAGATTAAGTTAAGCCACTAAGTATATTCTGATCTTGTTTTTCAGAGGTCTTCTATAAAAAAATAAAATATCTGTAGCCTGATTTAGAAAGTGCTACTAAATATATTGATGTTTTGTTTTATAACTCCTTTTACAAGTATTGTTGCTCCTACAGGAAATAAAATATGGCTGTTCTCCAATGAAGTGTAATAGACAAGTTTCTTAAACAAAATTTAATCTTTATCATAAAATAAGACCATCTACATGCTTTATAATGGTAAATATTATCAAACATCTCAGATATATTCTAATTAAGACTGTACTTGATTATCTTTTATTGCTAACCAATAAGTCTAGACAATAAACATAATTATTTCTACATCCAATAATAAGCATTGATTCCCAAACCACAGGAGAAGAGAATACCTCTCCAGGAAGTTCATACATACTTTGCAATTGTCCACTCTTAGATTCCAAGATCCACAGTTTCCCATCAGTAGATGCTGCTGCGAGCAACGTTTCATTGCTGTACTTGTTATGGAAAGCAAATGGTGTTGAATATACCCTTGAGGTAGTTTCAAATTTCCATTGGAGATGACCTCTCATAGTACAACAGTAGATAAAGCAATCATGGGAACCAAAAAATATTTCTTGCTCTGATGTGGAGGGACATGGGGATGAAAAGATGGGTTCACTGGTAGAGAACTGCCAAACCTGAAGGGTTATAATGGCAGAAATAATTAATTCATCTCATTTCAACAATTCTGTATACTTTTAAAGCTTTATGAAATTCTAAAACTGTGAGAGATGTAGGCTATTGAATGATAACTACACACAGAAGGAAAATGGCTTTTTCTGAAAAGTGGAACTCTCAGATTTGACCTCTGTCCTAGTGGTAAAATCTAGCACAAAATATACAAAGTATCCTTATTACATGAGTCATTGCAATGCATAATATGAAATAAAATTAATTTGAACCCCATCCAAAAGTTATCACTAGTATGTTCTGAGACACTGAGTTCAAAAATAAAACTGCATTGAGTTTTCAATGTATCTTATCAAAAACTGTATCACATCATATTGTTAGTCTCCTAATGTAGGGAGGAGGAAGGAAGTGGACTGAAAGGAAGAGTTCATGTTCAATAATTAAAGCTTTAAACAAGAAGCTATGAGACGTGTCTGACCTGTGGATATCTTCTATTTACTTATTTCAAAGCTACTAAAACCTGCTGGCCAATATTTTGAAGAAAAGACATAAGTTTAAGATAGTGTTTACAAATTTACAGTAACAGCAGCATAATAATAAAAAAAAGAATGGGCATATTCATGAAATCCTATATAATAAAAGCCCAGTGACCAAAATGGTGGAACAACCAGAACGACCAGAGACCAGAACTACTGGACCCTCACCCAGGTTGACCCTGCCCCCCAGCAGGGACCCCCCCACCCTGATCAGGGGCATGGCCGGCCTTCAAACTGCCCATGGCCCCTCACCCAGGCTGGCCCTCCCCCAGTGGGGACCCCTACCCCAATTGGGGGTGTGGCCAGCCTGCAAACCCCCAGTGGCCCCTCGCCCGGCCAGCCCCACCCCAATCGGGGGCATGGCTGGCCTGCAAACCGCCTGCAGCCCCTTGTCCCTGCCAGCCCTGCCCCCAGTGGGGACCCCTACCCCGATCCAGGGCCCCCATAAGGGCAGGCCAGCCAGCCCCCACCCATGCACTAGGCCTCTAGCCTATATAACAAAAGGGTAATATGCAAATTGACCCTAACAGCAGAACGACTGCTGGACCAGTCACTATGAGGCCCACTGACCACCTTTTAGTTCCTTTCCCCGGCTGGCAGACTCCGACTGCCTGATGGCAAATGGGGAGCCGGGGTTGGGTGGCGGGGGACGTGGGCGGCGCCAGACCAAGGCCCCTGCCCCGCTGGTTGCCCCATATACAGAAGGCAACCCGAGACAGGGCAGGGCCAGCAAGCAGGTGGGCACACCCAACCTTTCAGTCCCTTCCCCCAGCCGTCAGGCACCAATCACCCAATAGCGAAAGGGGAACCGGGGGTGGGGGGTGGGGGGTGAGCGGGGCCGGGTGCGGGCAGCCAGGGAAGATGGCCCTGATCACAGGCCAGGCCTAGGGAACATACCCGCACACGAATTTCATGACCGGGCCTCTAGTATGATTTATAATCTCAGTTCTGTCCCTGACTTGGACAAAGTCACTTTAACCTTTCTAAGGTTCATCTAAACAAACGGGAATAATAGCATTTGCCTCTTCAAACTACTTTGTAAATAAAAACATTATGTAAACAAAATAAAAGACTTCAAAAAGTGAGTGTCACACAGAGCAAAAGAATCTACTAGGCAATGAGGTGTGAATGAAGAGCCTACGGAGTCAACTCTAGCCATCAATGGGCTCACTCATGTTGGAGCTAGTGCACTCTCAAATCCACAAAGCAATCCCCCAAATCAAAACCACAGCTGCAGTTGTGCCAAAATGATAGTCACTTGCAGGTACTTAAAGGAGTGGAGATACTGCGCCCAACAAAAGATCTAATATAACCCAGAAGGAGCCTACCCTGCTCGTCATGAAGTTGAATATGCGACCCCCATATAAGGCAATGTGGGTTATACCAGAGATCTTGGTTTTCATAGAGAAAGCAGGGACTTCTTTAAATTTTCGTAACCTCAAAAGAAGTTATAATAAAATCGGTTTCAAGCTGTAAATTTTTAAAAACTGGGAGGAGGGGAATAGCACAAGTATAAAAATGTTTGGATAGAATCTTTGAAATATATTGCACCAATTCACAGATTAAGAAATGTATGGCCTGGCCAGAGTGGCTCAGTTGGTTGAGTATCTTCCTGTGCACCAAAATGTTGCCAGTTAGATTCCCAGTCAGGGCACATACCTGGGTTTGATCCCAGTCTGGCACGTATGGTAAGGCAACCAACTGATGTTTCCCTCTCACATGGATCTCTGATTCTCTAAGCATGTCCTCAGGTGAGGATTCAAAAAAAAAAAAAAAAGAATAAAGATAAGAAACCCATGGCCTGACAAAACAGAACCAGTTTTTTAACATAAATTGAATAATGACATTTAAAGTTTTACTTCAGCTGTCACCAACTACTACTATTCCTTTGAGAAAGATACATAAAATAGTATCAGAAAAATTTACCTGTTCTCCAAAGTGAGTAAAGCAAAGTAAATTCCCATCTACACAGCCAACACAAACATACTGCAGGCAACACCTTGGAGAAGAGAAGAGTGGTTTCCCACAGCAATGTTTCCAAACTCTATTTCCAGTGGCCTGTCATGGGCAAAAAGCAATTCATAGCATTTCAATCTTTCTAATCAATTAACTGTATAAAACAAATTCATAAATCTCTAGGAGGCAAAGCTATAAAACATCAGAAAATGCTATAATGACATGCTGACAT